ATAGAACAAGAAGTGGTAAGTGCTCTACTGCTGGCACAAAGACTTATGAGAGTATATGGTGTTAGAAATGTTGTAATTTCATTCTTTTATATGTAGCTATCTCGTTTCCCCAGCACCACTTATTGAAGAGACTGTCTTTTCTCCATTGTATATTCTTGCCTCCTTTGTCATAGATTAATTGACAATAGGTTATAAATTTATGTATGGGCATCTATCCTGTTCCATTGATCTATATCTCTGTTTCTGTGCCAGTACCATACTGTCTTGACTACTGTAGCTTTGTAGTATAATCTGAAGTCAGGGAACCTGATTCCTCCAGCTCCATTTTTCTTTCCCCAGATTGCTTTGGCTATTCAGAGCCTTATGTGTTTCCATACAAATTAAAAAAAAATTTTTTTTGCTCTAGTTCTGTGAAAAATGCCATTGGTAGTTTCATAGGGATTATATTAAATCTATAGATTCCTTTGGGTAGTATGACCATTTTAACAATATTGATTCTTCTAGTCCAAGAACATAAGATATCTTTCCATCGTTTTTGTCATCTTCAATTTCTTTTATCAGCATCCTAAAGTTTTTGGAGTACGGTACAGGTCTTTTGCCTCATTCAGTTCAGTTCAGTCGCTCAGTCATATCCGTCTCTTTGAGACCCCATGAATCGCAGCACACCAGGCCCCCCTGTCCATCACCAACTCCCAGAGTTTACCCAAACCCATGTCCATTGAGTCGGTGACGCCATCCAGCCATCTCATCCTCTGTCATCCCCTTATCCTCCTGCCCCCAATCCCTCCCTGCATTAGGGTCTTTTCCAATGAGTCAACTCTTCCAATGAGGTGGCCAAAGTATTGGAGTTTCAGCTTCAGCATCAGTCCTTCCAGTGAACACCCAGGATTAATCTCCTTTACGATGGACTGGTTGGATCTCCTTGCAGTCCAACGGACTCTCAAGAGTCATCTCCAGCACCACAGTTCAAAAGCATCAATTTTTTGGTGCTCAGCTTTCTTCACTGTTCAACTCTCACATCCATACATGACTACTGGAAAAACCATAGCCTTGACTAGACGGACCTTTGTTGGCAAAGTAATGTCTCTGTTTTTTAATATGCTATCTAGGTTGGTCGTAACTTTCCTTCCAAGGAGTAAGCATCTTTTAATTTCATGGCTGCAGTCACCATCTGCAGTGATTTTGGAGCCCAGAAAAATAGTCTGACCCTGTTTCCACTGTTTCCCCATCTATTTCCCATGAAGTGATGGGACCAAATGCCATGATCCTAGTTTTCTGAATGTTGAGCTTTAATACAACTTTTTCACTCTCCTCCTTCACGTTCATCAAGAGACTTTTTAGTTCCTCTTCACTTTCTGCCATAAGGGTGGTGCCGTCTGCATATCTGAGGTGATTGATATTTCTCCCGGCATTCTTGATTCCAGCTTGTGCTTCTTCCAGCCCAGCATTTCTCATGATGTACTCTGCATATAAGTTAAATAAGCAGGGTGACAGTATACAGCCTTGAAGTATTCCTTTTCCTATTTGCCTCATTAGGTAGGTTTATTCTTAGGTATTTTATTCTTTTTGAAGTAATGGTAAGTGGGATTGTTTCCTTAATTTCTCTTTCTGATCTTTCCTTTTAGTGTATAGAAAGGAAAGAGATATCTGTATGTTAAGTTTTTATCCTGAAACTTTACCAAAGTCCCTGATGAACTCTAGTAGGTGTCTGGTAGCATCTTTAGGATTTTATAGAATCATGTTGGGCTTCCCGGGTGGCTCAAGACAGTAAAGAATCTTCTTGCAATGCAGCAGACCCGGGTTCAATCCCTGGATTGAGAAGACCCCCTGGAGAAGGGAATGGCTACCCACTCCAGTATTCTTGCCTGGAGAATCCCAGAGACAAAGGAGCCTGGTGGGCTACACAGCCCATGGGGTCGCAAAGAGTCAGACATGACTGAGTGACTAATACTTCACACACAGTATCATGTCACCTGCAAACTGTGACTGTTTTATTTCTTTTTGAATTTAGATTCCTTCTATTTCTTTTTTTTCCCTGAGTGGCATGGCTAGATCTTCTAAAACTATGTTGAATAAAAGTGGCAAGAGTGGACATCTTCATCTTGTTGTTGATTTTAGAGGAAATGCTTTCAGTTTTTCACCATTGAGTATGATGTCAGTTGTAGGTTTGTCATATATGGCCTTTATTATGTTGAGGTGGGTTCCTTCTAGGCCCACATCCTGGAGAGTTTTTTGGTTTTTTTTTTTAATCATAAATGGGTGTTGGATTTTGTCAAAAGCTTTTTCTACATCTATTGAGAGGATCATGTGGTTTTTATTCAATTTGTTAATGTAGTATATCACACTGATTGACTTGCAGACATGGAAAAGTCCTTGCATCCCTAGGATAAAGCCCACTTGATCATGGTATATGATCGTTTGAACCTATTGTTGGATTTGCGTTGCTATCATTTTGTTGAGAATTTTTGCATCTGTGTTCAGTGATATTGCCCTGTAATTTTCTTTATTTGTGGTATCTTTGTCTGGTTTTGCTTCTCTGGTGGCTCAGCTGCTAAAGAATCTGCCTGCAGTGAGGGAGACCTGGGTTCAATCACTGGGTTGGGAAAGTCCCCTGGAGAAGAGAACAGCTACCCACTCCAGTATTCTGGTCAGGAGAATTCCATGGATTGAATAGTCCATGGGGTTGCAAAGAGTTGGACATGACTGAGCGACTTTCACTTCAACAATTTGTCTGGTTTTGGAATCAGGGTGATTGTGGCCTCATAGAATAAATGTGCGAGTATTTCTTCTTTTGCAGCTTTTTGGAATAGTTTCAGAAGGATAGATGTTTCCTGTTTTCCAAATATTTGATAGACTTTAGCTGTGAAGCCGTCTGGTCCTGGACTTTTGTTAGGATTTTTTAAAACCACAGTTTCACTTTCAGTACTTGTGATTTGTCTGTTCATACTTTCTGTTTCTTCCTAATTCAGTCTTGGAAGATTGTACCTTTCTAAGAATTTGTCCATTTCTTCTAGGTTGTCCATTTTATTGGCATATAGTTGTTTGTAGTAGTCTCTTATGTTTCTTTGTATTTCTGTGGTGTCAATTGTATTTTTGTCAGTTTGATTAACATGTATTAGTCTTGGCGTGTTCCTCCTTGGGTTTATCTATTAATATATGGGACTCTCTGCACTTCCTGAATTTGTGTGACTGTTTCCTTTCCCAAGTTAGTTAAATTTTCGCCTATTATCTCTTCAAATATTTTCAGACCCTTTCTCTCTTCCTCTAGGACCCCTATAAGGGGAATGCTGGTGCATTTAATGTTGTTTTAGAGGTTCTGAGAGTGTCCTCATTTCTTTTCATTCTTTATTCTGTTCCATGACAGTGATTTCCACCCATTTGTCTTTCAGCTCACTTATTTGTTCTGCTTCATTTATTGTGCTATTGATTCCTTGTAGTGTATTTTTCGTTTCAGTTATAGTCCAACTGTTTGTTGTTTATATTTTCTTGTATCTTCTTGGTCAGTGCCTCCATTCTTTTTCTGATATCATGGATCATCTTTACTATCATTATTCTGAGTTCTTTTTTCAGTAGATTGCCTATCTCCACTCTGCATGATTGTTCTTCTGAGGTTTTACCTTGCTCCTTCATCTGGGACATATCTCTCTGCCATCTTACTTTGTCTCACTCTGCGTGGTTGCAGTTTCTGTTTCACAGACTGAAGGATTGTAGTTCCTCTTGCTTCTGGTGTCTGCCCCCTGCTGGATGTGTCTGGTCTAAGAGGTCTGTGCAGGTTCCCCAGTAGGAGGGCTGTGTCAAGGTGTGTGTTTAGAGGCGGCTGTACATTCAGGACAACTTTAGGCAGCGTGCCTACTGATGGCTGGGGCGCCCACCGTTTGGGAGGTGTTCCCGAGGCATTCCCACCTTGTTGGTTGTTTGTCATAAGGTGTTCCAGCAATGGAGCCTGTTGGCTGTTGGGTGAGGCCCTGTCTCAGTGCGAAAACGGCAACCTCTAGGAGAGCTGAGGTCAGTGAATATTCCCCAGTATCTCTGCCACTGGTGTCCTTGACGCTACAGTGAGCCACAGCCCCACCTTCCCAGAAGGCCCTCTGAGACCCTTAGGTAGGCCTGGCCCAGGCTCCTGTGGAGTCACTAGCTCACCCTGGCCTGCAGTGCATTTGGAATCTTCTGTGTGCCCTCCAAGAGTGGAGTCATGTGGAGCTCCTGTACTCAAGCTCTTCAGAGTCAGAGGCTCTGGGGGCTCCTCCTGATGCCAGACCCCCAGGTTCAGGAACCTCAAGTGAGGCTCAGAACTCTCCCTCTTGTGGGAATACCTCTGTGGTTTAATTATTTAATTATTGCCCACCCAGTGGTTACAGGACTTGATTGTATTGGGAAAGCACCCCTTCTACCATCTTGCTGTGTTTTCTTTTTCATCTTTGAGTGTAGAACATCTTTTTTGATAGGTTTCAGTCTTTTTTGTCGACAGTTCTTCAGCAGTTGGTTGTAATTTTGGTGTTTCACGAGAGGACTCAAGCCCAAGTCCTTCTCGTCTACCATCTTGTCTCCTCCCCAGAGAAATCAAATAATAGTCATCTCAATGGATGTGACTTTTTAAAATCAAGAATTAGACAGCACTTAACAACCTGTTTAAATGTTTAACACCTCATCCTTCAGACAGATATATACAACATACAAACTATATTTCACTGGAAAAAAATCAAGGAAAATTGTGAATTTCCTCCATTCTCTTTTTTAGCCTTTTTTTTCCTCTTGTAATTGTAATTTTCAGTAGTTGAAGATGAAAATTAAATGAAAGGTTTTAATTAATTATTACATTTAACTTAATTATTAATTATTTAATTAAATTTTTAATTAAAATTAATTATTATTAATTATTTAATTTACTCATTTAATTAAATTAAATAAAAGTTGGGCTTTTAAAAGAGAAATATTGAAACTATATATAATTTTAAAGTTTAGAAAATATAACTCTTCCCATCTTTTCTATGGTATCAAAGACAACAGAAACCACTGTTAGAACTCTACCAGACAAGGGTGAAGAGATCTGCGGATATTTCTTGAATCCTTCTTTAATGTCATCAGAATGTTCACCTACAATCTTGAAAAAGAAAACAGAAGACATAAGCGACCTCCCTTCTGAGAATCAAAGAAGCATACCACTTGCTGTAACCGACGCATTAGAGCATATTATGGAACAGCTCAATGTTTTGACACAGGTGGGTTGGCATGTTTCACGCTTAGAGGTAAGATGTACAAAATCCTGGTTATAGCAGGCTGCAGAACTAGCAGAGCAGGGAGGATACTTTCCTTCTTAGCAAGCTCAAAGGTCGTAGTTAGCAGAGCAACACATGCTCTGCTGAGATGCTCTAGATCTTGTGGAGGCAAGGTCTGAGCCCATGCGCATGTAAACATGTGCATACACACACTGCACTATATCTGGCATCTGAGGACCAGAAGGGAGGGGAGGAGACAGTGAAGAACCATTTTGGTACTTCATGCTATAAATTTGATTCTAGACAGTAATGTTTTGCCCTAAGAATTTTCCAATGCAGTGTATTCAGATTTGGATATCATCAAAGAAATATTTAAGGCTAAAAGAAAAGATGTATTGGGATTAATCATTTCAGTTAGAATGAAATATTGGCAATGCTTTTAGTTTTCAATCTGAAGATATTTCCCTCTGTCCAATGTATAACTTCCCTCATTCCAAAGCTTCTTACGGGACACTCTGTTCTGGAGACGAGGTTTTCGCATTCCCCTTTTAGAATATTGCCCAGTCTTTTTTTTTTTTTTTTCATTGATGCTAAATTTCAGTTTATTTTTTACTGCACAGGATGACTTTCAGCATTCATTTTTTTTTTTTACAGACTGTATACATTCTTTTATTAACTTTCATTATATAGTCATGCAGGTAGTAAATAATTAATTTCACAGTAAAAAGGAAAGACGAAATGGCTTAATCCCTTTTAATTACATTTAAGCAATTTTTTAAATTTTAAAATTTAATTTTTTAAATTTTGAAAAAGTATTGCTTTTTTAAATTTATTTTTCTATTGAAGGATAATTGCTTTAAAGAATGCCAGTTTACCTTTGAAAGAAGGAATACCATGAATCTTAATATACCAAAGGTCTTCCAACTCTTGGTCAGGAAATTTAGATGTCATTTAATGGAAGCAGTGTATTAAAATGGATACATCAAAGGTTGTCCTTCCAGCTCTCCTTGGTGTTTCTTTTGAATAAGTCTTATCATTCTTTGATAAATAGGATGAGGATACTATTATTTGTCAGAGCAGATGCTGTCCCAAGTTGTACAGAAAGAAGCTGTGACGTGAACTAGAGATGTCATTTACTTTCCCAGAATAAATATTTCGAGTTGAAATGGCTCTTGTATAGAGGTTATCTAATTCTTGTTTTTAACCCTGGCTGTACATTATAATCACCCAGGCAATTAAGAATCATTCAGATGTCCATTCTCATCTCCAGAGAATTCAAGGCCTTGGCATGGGTCTCTTTAACGTTCCCTTCTGGGTTTAGAGCCAGTAATTACAAATTTACCCTTTAGATAACATCTCTGAACCTTGGAGTTAAGGGACATGGATATGGGTCGTGACAGGTTGTGAGAACAAGTCTTGTGAGACCTTGGAGTCATAAGATTTGTTCAGTGAAAATCATAGGAAAATCACCAATTTTTGCTTTGCAGTATTGTGCTGGAGCTGACTTTGTGTTTATCAGACGTCTCTAGCCTTTAAAAGGCAGTTTTTCTCTCAACCTCCTGCCAGGTTTAGTTTTGATGGGCCTGTTTCCCAGGGCCCTGGCTCCTCACTTGAACTGTCACATTGAGTGGCAGGTCCTCTTGAGGGTTTTTCCATCCTCTGCTCTATCAGCTTCGTCACCCATTTCACCTTTTTCCCTGATTCAGGGTTAAATGGACCACTTTAAACTTTATTGAAAGTCTCTACTTTTTTAACTTTGAAGGACTGACTACCCTTCAAATACAAAAGAAGTGAAAAGCAGGCACAGTGCACTTGCAAAATGGGAACAGTGTGAATCTGTGGGCGAATAGCAAGTGAAATAAACACATTCTGATTTACTTCAATTACAGATGACTGAATATCTCCTAACCCTGTGGCAATGTTTATAATTCAGTACAGATTGTATTGGGTTGGCCAAAATGTTCAGGCTTTTCAGTAAGTTGTAAGATGTTACAGAAAAATTCAAGCATTTGGGCCAACCCAACAATATCACTTTCTCATTATAATTTTTCAGACAGTAGGTAACTGGTGTTAACCAGTGTTATAGGTATTGATAATATATGTATCAAAAGCTTTTGCTTTTTGCATTGTGATAATGTATGTACATATCAGGCAAAATGCTTGGAGCATAGTAGGCACCCAAGAAATATTAGAAAATATTATGAGCATTGCTGCTAATTTTGATCATATTAACTGCAGTATTGTGCTGGAGGTGACTTTGTATTTATCAGACATCTATTGCCTCTAAAAGGCAGTTTTTCTCTCAACCTCATGCCAGCTTTAGTTTTGATTGGCCTGTTTCCCAGGCCAATCATAATGAGTCATGATCTATAGTATGGAATATGAGAGAAAAAAAAAAATATTAGATAATAGGAAAAAAAACCCAAAAAGAACAACTGATTACTGTCAGAAACTGATAGGGAATCAATTCATTATCTTGAAACTTATTGACTAAAGTAACCATGCATTTATGCTGCTTTTCCTGTATGAACTGTACTTCCAGGTAACCAAATATATGGAAGTGTATTTTATAAATCATCCCAACTAATAAATGGAAATAGAATGTCATTGCCCTCTAAAGAAAGAATAGATTTACCAAGGGATCTAGCCTGAGCCTTATCAAGCCTTTGAATCCTGCTCCCAGTTTATATAAAATACAGAGAGTAAAAGAACAGATTTAACTGTATCTGTACCTGGAGCACACAGTCCCTAAAATCCAGTCTGGTAGGGAATCTACAGGTCAGATGGCCTGAGCCTGTAAATAGACAAATTATAAAGAAAATAAAGCAAGGAAGTGGGGAATCTGCAGATTAAATGGGTAAGATAAAGTTTTAGTTTCTAGGGATGCATATTTGAAAGGTAAAACCATAAAAACATGCAGATTATTATAGTGGTCAGGATGGTGGCTGTTATGGGGGAAGGTGCATGCAAGGCAATAGTTCTTGACCTGATGCAGGTCACAAGGGTGTTTTTCTCATTAGAATTCATGGACACTTTTTAGTGTGCAATTTCGTGAATCTAGTTTATAGTGAAGTTTATAAAAAAGACTGAAGTGACCGGTAATCACAATTTAAAAGGAGTTGTGTGTGTGTGTTTAGTCATATACTCACTTACTAGCCAAAGGAGTTAGAATAGCTAAGATTCATAAAGTCCTGTTGTGCCAGGCACTAGCTTAAGCATTTTACATGCCTGATTTCATTCAGTCTTCCTACCAACCCTATGAGGTGCTGTTGTCATCTTCTGGGTGCAGAAATGAGTAGCAGTCATAATTTTTTCAAAGAAAGCTAGGTATCCAGCTGTCTAGGGTAATATAGATATGGCCCGTCATGGGTTGATTGTGGCTGAATGACCAGTGATGCCATTTAAGTATTAGTGGGGCATGTGGCATTCCGTCCCACCTCCCCTATTCCACATTTCCTGGGACACTATTTAACATGCCTCATGTGGTCTCTTCTCTGGCATTGATGCTTTAGAAGATCAGACTTTAGAATTGTCCACAGAGGCTTGATCATTTACTCCTTTTTCCTTAAATGCTTCCTCTTTTTCCCCTTTCCTCAAACGGCCTGGCCGTGCTTTGCCCTGTGGTGGGGTGCAGAAACGGAGCAAGTTCTGGAGCTCATTTCTGAGCCAACCTCTTGGCAAAAGGGTAGGCATTACAGTTTTGAAAAAGATCAGTGAAGAGATTATCACCATCATCCTCACCACCAGATCACCAGGCACTGATGACTTCGTCCTCCTTTTTTGCAGACTGTTTCAATTTTGGAGCAGCGACTGACTTTGACAGAGGATAAGCTGAAAGACTGCCTGGAAAATCAGCAAAAGCTTTTCAATTTGATCCAACAGAAAATTTGAACAGAAAAATATGAGCAGAAGCATGAGAAATAAACACATGTACATATACTCAGGAAGGTAGTACCAGGTGCTTCATGCAATGCACATGTGCTAATTGTCATGGCATTTCTTAAAAGGGTGAACAACAGAACAAAAGGCAGAAAAGGCATAATTAAGGACCAGTTTAAACATACCAATCAATGTCTAGGACTAATTCAAATCATCACTATTTATGGTTCCAGTAATAAAGTGATAAGCATTCAAGTGGCTCTATATCCACCCCCCCCCCATATTATTTTTTAAATGTCAGTTTTCGTTAATAGCTCAAATCTTGCCAGGAAAATAACCAAATCTTTGGATTTCATTGTTATTTCAAATTGACCTTTTTCGGGCAATTCCTTCAACAATTAGTGTACTTCTTTAGTGAACAGTACCCATAGGGTGAAACAATTCACTTACCTCTAAAATGGCATTTTATGTGCAGAGAATGAATTAATGATCTGACTTGTATTTCTCAGTTAAAAAAAATTTACTCTTTCTTACCTATGCCATTTGATGAAAAGATGATCTCACAAACTCTCAAACCACAGAATTTCCACAGCAAGAATACACTTATTTTAATTAGCAACAGCACATACAGGACATATGGCAGGGATTTTGATTTAATTTATGGCATACGTTGCTTATTCTTTGTCCAACCTGGAAGAAAATGAAGTTAGAAATATGTGAAGTACACGTATCTTCTTCTGTAGATGAAGGCACTGAATGTTTTCAGTTATATCCAAACTTGTGATATCAGTTTATGAAGATTAAATTAGTGCAGAATCCTCAAAACCCAGAACCATGCAACAGCCACACTTAAAAATATACACACATGTGTGTTCACATGCTTCAGGAATGTTTAGGGTGATTTTGGTACCTGGATATAAGGACTTTAAAAGAATATTTATTTGCATCATTGTCTACCTCCTTCTTTTAATTGTGATTTGAAACAAAATGAAAATGAGTAAAACATTCTAAATGATCTTGGTTATAATTTAAGGATTTTTCTTAAACAAAATAGGAGATTAAATTGGAAAAAAAAAATGAATTTAGCTTGCATTTCTGTTAACCTATATCAAAACCAGAAGGTGGGAGAAGACAGTCCACATTTATGATGCCTGCAGGCATACCATGGGGAAAATACTATGTTTTGGAAAAGAAAAATGTCCTATTTCCGTACAGGTCTATATTGAGAAATTTCTCAAAGTGATTTCAGTTGTATTTATGAGGTGGTTTTGTTTTATCATCTCGTGTATTTTAAGTGCCTTTTTATACAATACTAAGTAGGAACTTCTAGACCATTTCAAGAGTTTGTAAGACTAAGTGGCATTGTATTTTTTATAACCTCGTTGAGAAGACTAAGAAATGAAATGTCATACCAATTTTTGTTTACTTTTTTATTCTTCAAACAATAAAGACATTTTGCCTTTAAAAAAAGTTGTTTCCTTTTAAATGATTAAAATCTAGAAATAATACTAAATTTCTTATCTAGCTCACTCAACTTTAACCTTCATAACAACCTTCTGGACTACTTGTCAAAACAGTTCTGGTGCTTTCCCCCGGGTTTATGATTCACTAGGTCTGGTCTGGCAGGGCCCAATAATTTGCATCTCTAACAAGCTCACAGGAGATTTGGTGCTACTGGCCTCAGGCCGACAGTTTAGAAACTATTGACCAGTTGTAACCACTTCCTGCAACATGGTGTTGCCACATACTTTTATAGTCATAGCCCTTTATTATAAGTGATATAAAAACTGATGACAGAAGTTTAAAAGCCTTAAAACTTTTTCAGGAGGGATATTTTATAATCCTCCTTCCCTCCCCTGCACCTTTGTTTATGCTTTTGAGGATTCTTTCCTTCAGATTCCAGCCTCTCCTTTGTCCTAGCTGCCTATTCGCTGCATGAGCAACATCTCCACTTGGAAGACCTGGCAGGCCATCTCTGAATGTGCCCAAAGCCAGTCCCTACTGTACCCTCAACCACCAGCCAGCTCCTCTGTCCCCTAGTGTCCGGACCTCCAACTCTCCTTCAAGGCACTCAGGTTGGAGTTATCCTTGAGTCCTTGATCCTACACTCCACTCCCATTCCTTCAGCAAATCTTATGAGAACACATGAGAGACCTGATCATTTCTCACTCCTCATCAGCCACCAAAACAGGCCACTGTTGTCTCTTCCCTGAATTACTGCGGTACCTCTTAACTGTCACCACTGTCATCTTTGCACAGCAGGCCAGAGTGGTTCTTGAAAACCCAGAGTTCAAACATGTGGCTCTTTTGGCTTCAAACCCTTCAGGGCTTCCCATCTTGGAGTAAAAGCCTAAGGCTTGACAGTGGTGATGTGCTCCCCACCCCTTCATCTTAGACCTTCCCCTTTCCCTTGGGGGCCACACTTACTGCCCTTGGTCACAGTGGCTTCTTTGCTTCCCTTTGTAGAAGCAAAACACCTCCCACCTGAGAGCACTGGCCTTACCATTTCCTCTGCCTGGAGCCCTGTCCCCAGCCTTCGCTCATAACATTCCAGCCCGGGTCACATGTTGCCTTTTCAGAGGTGCCCTTCCTAATCAGCCTATGTGAAATAGTAACCCTCCATTCACTCCCTGCCTAGCCCTGGTACAACAAGATTGCAACACCGTTCCAGTTCTGCCTCTTCCACGGTGAACTAACCTTCTCAAAAAGTAAGCACTGTCACCTCTTGATTCCCAAACTAGCACAATTCATAGGAGAAGCTCAACAGATAGGTATCCCAAAAAATGCTCAACCCAAAAGTTGAGAATATTTTATTCAGTGTACTTACTGAGGATTTAAGCCCGAGATATAGCCTCTCAGATAACTCTAAGGGACTTTTTCTAAAGAGGTAAGACAGGAGCCAGGATAAATAGAAGTTTTGCAAATAAAACAACATAACAAAACAAACTAGGTAGTCAGAACATTAAAAGATTACCATTAAAGAAAACCAGGTATCTCAAGCTAATGAATTTTAGCACTTTTCTACATATAAGAAGATGCAAGAGTCTGGTCTTATTGAAATTATTCCTTTGATATGCATCTTCACTATCTAGTACCGGTATCCTGTTTTTTCTCCATTCTGAATTCAGGGTGCCCAATCGAGGGTGGGTGTAGTGACCACAACATTCTCTGTTTAGTGAAATGCTAGGAACATTATATGTCTCCAATATTCTGTGTCTCTCAGTCATAAATTCAAGCATTTGGAAGGCATTTAATGATCAATTTCGTCCCACAACACTAGGAAGTTTCACTCCTAGATCGGCTGGAGACTGTGTGATAGGCTATTCAGTCTACACAGACATACTTTGAAATCTCATAGCTTTACTGTAAGAGTTATGAATCTGGTGTTACAATATACTTAGATATAAACTTATAAAGTAAGTGTATAAACAATATAAACTTACAGTATAAACTTGTGTGCTGAGTCGCTTCAGTCGTGTCCGACTCTTTGCGACCCCATATAGCCCACCAGCCTCCTCTGTCTGTGGGTTTCTCCTGGCAAGAATACTGGGAGTTGGTTGCCAGGCCCTCCTCCACGGGATCCTCCCAACCCAGGGATCAAAACTGTGTCTCCTGCACTGCAGACAGATTCTTTGCTGCTGAGCCACCGGTGAAGCCCATAAACAGTATAAACAGTTTATAAATAATAGCTGGAATAAGTTAAATTTGCTTGCCCAGAGGACTAGGGCTTCACTCCTTTTGGAAAAGACATAAGATTTTTACTTGCCCTTGATAAACCCTTATGGAGAATATGAATTAGATTCCAGGCAAAGGAGCCTTTCCAACTGTTGGAGTTTTTAAAGGTTACTTTTCCACTTTTTCTCTCCTTGTGGTCAGTTACTATCTGATTAATTAGGCTCAGTCTCAGGTCATTGTGGGCTATAGCTAAGTTTCTGATTTGTAGAGATATGCAAGAGAAAGATGGGCTTCCCTGGTGGCTCAGATGGTAAAGAATCTGCCCTCGATACGGGAGACCTGGGTTTGATCCCTGGGTTAGGAAGATCTGGAGGAGGGCATGGCAACTTCCAGTATTCTTGCCTGGGGAGAGAAAGATAGTTGCTTTTAATTCTCCAAAGAACTGGTGTGCCTTCCAAATAATGTTAAAAGATGGATTTTGCCCAACTATATTTCCTTTAATTTGATCTTTTTTTTCTTTTAATTTATTTTTATTAGTTGGAGGCTAATTACTTCACAACATTTCAGTGGGTTTTGTCATACATTGAAATGAATTAGCCATGGATTTACATGTATTCCCCATCCCGATCCTCCCTCCCACCTCCCTCTCCACCCGATTCCTCTGGGTCTTCCCAGTGCACCAGGCCCAAGCACTTGTCTCATGCATCTCTCCTGGGCTGGTGATCTGTTTCATTATAGATAATATACATGCTGTTCTTTCAAAACATCCCACCCTCGCCTTCTCCCACAGAGTCCAAAAGTCTGTTCTGTACATCTGTGTCTCTTTTTCTGTTTTACATATAGGGTTATCATTACCATCTTTCTAAATTCCATATATATGTGTTAGTATGCTGTAATGTTCTTCATCTTTCTGGCTTACTTCATTCTGTATAATGGGCTCCAGTTTCATCTATCTCATTAGAACTGATTCAAATGAATTCTTTTTAATGGCTGAGTAATATTCCATGGTGTATATGTACCACGGCTTCCTTATCCATTCATCTGCTGATGGGCATCTAGGTTGCTTCCATGTCCTGGCTATTATAAACAGTGCTGCGATGAACACTGGGGTGCACGTGTCTCTTTCAGATCTGGTTTCCTCAGTGTGTATGCCCAGAAGTGGTATTGCTGGGTCATATGGTAGTTGTATTTCCAGTTTTTTAAGGAATCTCCACACTGTTCTCCATAGTGGCTGTACTAGTTTGCATTCCCACCAACAGTGTAAGAGGGTTCCCTTTTCTCCACACCCTCTCCAGCATTGATTGCTTGTAGACTTTTGGATCTTTTAACATAAGTGA